GAAAATTGAACACTGTCATGTGCTCGATCGGCAAGCGTCTAGTAGATGAGAAAACCACATAGCGGAGTCAGATGAAAAGCCGCAGGGCCCCTCTTCTCTCTGCGTGTTGTTTTATCTATTGTCTCAATGACTTGGCAGGGATTTATTTGTTGTTGTTAACAAGGACAACGATGGCTGGGGGTTGTGCCAGGCATCCTCAGCGGAATGAGAGGGTGAGGTCTGGATGCACTGGCGGCCCTTTTTCTGCAGTCAACTGGACCTCAGTCTATTTTCCATGGACTTGTGCTTGTGCAAGGTCTTGATATCACGAGCAATTCCGGCGCTTCTGTATAAATTAGACTGAAACCAGAGATAGCAATTGCTAATGAATTCGCGATTAATTTCCCAGGACAATGAAATTGTTACATCCGTTTGGAGTCCAATGGCTTATCGGGCATTGGAGTCGACTGTTTGCGGATGGTCTAGGCATCGAACTAGCTGATAATGTGGGCAGCAGAAATCCATGGAAATTCCCTTGCGATGGGTCCATGATCGATGTCATGTGGAAGTCTCACGACTATTCTTAGCTTAGTCTCTGCCACTCGGCCTATAGAGAGGGCCGGATGGCTTGCCGATGCACATGTACGTACTCTACTGATAGTCCAGAAACACTTGCGTTCCAAGTCCAAAGCTTACCAATGTCACGGGATTCCATTGAAATTCCGTCGAAGAGAAAAGGAAGGACAATCGAACCAAAGGTTAAAATAAGGATAAGAAGCTATTCTGGACCAGGGGGGAGGATCAATAGGTCCAATCTGAAGGGAATGTAAAACCCAGGATTCCCCAGTTGAGTAAGGGAGGGATGATGGACCAGACCCAAGAAGGGAAAGGATGTCGGTGCTGACGACGGGCGTGTGGTCGTCTGATCAGAAAAAAAAAAAAGGGCGAGGGAACTAGAAGGAAAAGAAGACGCAAGAAAAAAAGTGCATCCTCCCCCACGCCCCCACTTCTCCGCCATGGACGAACGGGGTCTTGGTCGTAGGGAAGACCCAACTGGGTAGGTCTTCATGACTCCCGTAGTATAGCAGGGGTAGTGGTAGTAGTAGTAGTAGTAGTCCCCCTCCATAGTAGTAGTCGTTGTAGGGGACCTGCACCGCAGGTACATCCTACAGGGACCTCCCAGAGATCACGGGGTAAAAAAAAATAAAAAAGAGAGGGATAATCCCCAAGCTTATGCACACCTAATAGTAATCCTTAACCTCCGCGCTGGGAAAGATCCACCGTGCTGGATAAAGAGTCTCCCTTTTCCCTCTCGATGTTTCCTTGAGTGATCCTATTCCTCTCTTCCTCCTCTTCCTCCTCTTTCCCAACTTTTCCCTCTCCGTCGCCACTCCACTAAAGCGCACCCATCCAGTGACCTCATACCTCCGATCTTCCAATCCACCGTCACTTCCACCTGCTGCGAACCAAGACTCTTCTTTTCTTATTTTCCTCCAGATCTTCGCGGCTGACTACTTCCTGATTACTTATTTCTGACTCTTTTTCACCAACTCCACCCGACTCCCGGTCACTTGTACGTCATCATCTGCTTTTACGACTCTGGGCAATTTTGGACTTGTATCATTATCAACCCCGCCGCGCGCCCCGACTTGCTTTCGTAGTCCAATTCCATCATTTCTCTCCCTCCCACTTATTCTATTTCCCCTCTTCCGCTTTTTAAGTACCGGATTAGGGACGTAAAACTCTCCCCTCAATTCTCCAACCATCACTATTTTTGCACCAATCAATCCTCATTTTCCCGCCACCTCGTCCTCTTTGGCCCAATTTCTCTCTCTCTATTTTAAGAGGTCAAAAGAGGGAAGATAGATCTTTGCGTCGCCAACCTGAGCAAAAAGAGAAACCAACAACACAAATTCTTTCACAATGAGGAACCCTTTTGATATGTCCGACCTCGACGCTCTTGTCGATGAACAAGAGGATCAGCCTTATATTGACATTCACGCCTACCAAACACATGACGGCAATCGCTCTCTTCTGCAGCCGAATGAAAACCGCCATGGCGACAGCTTGAAGGACCGCTTTATTGGTGCCATTGACACCGGCACCACGAGTTCCCGCTTTATCATCTTTGACTGCACCGGTGTCCCCGTCGCCAAGTATCAAATGGAGTTCCGTCAGATTCACGAGCATTCAGGGTAAGCAGCTGCCTCGATTGATCGTACCACATTTCCCCTTCTGACTTAAGATCCTCTGTGTAGATGGCACGAACAAGATCCCTTCGACTTGGTGGATTCAGTTTACACATGTATCGAGGAGGCAATGAAGTCTTTCATGGCTCTTGGCCACTCACCGTCAGAGATCGAAGCCATCGGTATCACCAGTCAGCGAGAGACAACGCTTGTTTGGGATTGGGAGACCGGCGAGCCGTTGCATAACGCTATCGCGTGGCCCGACACCAGAACCAAGGGTCTAGTTCGGGAGCTGAAGGCCCAACCCGGAGCGGATGACTTGAAGAACATCTGCGGGTTTCCCCTCTCGACTTACCCCTCCTCCGTCACCTTGGTATGGATGCTTCGGAACCTACCGGAAGTCAAGAAAGCATATGATGAGGGAAGGCTCGCCTTCGGCACTGTCGACACGTGGCTTTTGTATAACCTGAATGGTGGTCCCGAGGGAAACGTCCTGGTGACCGATGTGACGAACGCATCAAGAACGATGTTCATGAACCTTAAAACACTTGATTATGACGATAATTTGTTGAAGTTCTTCGGCATTGACAGGACGAAGATCAGACTTCCTAAAATTCTCCCATCAGCCGACCCAGACGGATATGGATGGGTCAGAGGGGGACCGCTTGACGGTGTCCCAATTACCAGCTGCCTTGGCGATCAGTCTGCGGCGTTGGTCGGTCATTGTGCCTTCACACCTGGATCAGCGAAGAACACATACGGCACAGGATGCTTCCTTCTTTATAACGTTGGTGAGGAGCCAGTCATTTCCAAACATGGTTTGCTCAGCACAGTTGGATTCCAGTTGGGTAAGAATCGGAAAGCTGTTTATGCGCTTGAAGGCAGTGTGGCTGTGGCCGGAAGTGGTGTTTCCTTCCTGATGAACAACATGGGTTTCTTCCGTGATTCACGGAAAGTGAGCGAAGTGGCAGCAACCGTTCCAGATAGCGGAGGCTGCGTGTTTGTCACCGCGTTCAGTGGTCTGTTTGCGCCTTATTGGATTGATGATGCTAAGGGAACTATATGTAAGTCAATGCTGTGTCAGAAGCAGTTGTACAGATATCAGTACTAATGCTGGTTTAGTCGGAATCACGCAGCACACGCAGCGTGGACACATTGCTCGTGCCACCATGGAAGCTGCCTGCTTCCAAACCAAGGCAATCCTCGATGCCATGGAGATGGACAGCGGACACGCATTGACGGAACTCGCCGTCGACGGTGGCATGAGTAATTCCGATATTTGCATGCAGGTATGTCGCACTGGTTTTACCTTCCACATTATATAGCGGGAATTAACTTCTTTCCTTAGACCCAAGCAGATATCATCCAGATCCCTGTTGAACGGCCAGCAATGCACGAAACCACTGCTCTGGGTGCCGCGATCGCGGCGGCCTTTGCCATTGATATCTGGAAGGACTTTAGCGAGCTAAAGAACATGAACCGCGCCAATCGCACAACCTTCCAGCCCCATATTTCTGAGGCACAGAGCTCGAAGCTGTACAAGCGATGGAGCAAAGCAGTCGAGATGTCTCGAGGCTGGGTAGACCCCGCTGACGAGGCAGAGGAGGAATGATTGCATACCTACACAAGCGACAAATGAGACCTACCTACATACATAATTCTGGGATGAGATTTGCGATTTAGCGTTTATGTTCTTTTTTTTTTATTTCCATGTCTTGGGGTTCTGGGTACGGGCCAACTTAGCGGTGCGGTGGAGTGTCTTTTGGATACCCGATCATTACATCAGGTAGTTCTGGTAAATATTTAGAAATCAATGCATATATAACCAGGCTAACATTGTTCTTATTATTGAAGTCGAGTAGGGAAAGGTTCCGGTCACTAACGACCAATTAGATAAAGGGATTCCATCAATAAAAACAATAGATGGGGGGTTCAAAGGTGTTTTATATCGAAGATCTAATGCATCATATGATCGCAACACACAGAGTTGTCTGTGCATTCATAGAGACAAGGCAGGGTGGTGTGACCTACAGCTGATCTTGAGAGGTAGCACCGTGAGTACTACATAGTCATAGAAGCCTGAACAATAGTGGTACTGCCAAATAGGATTTCCACGAAACCTAAGGTTGAGGGCTTCCATTTCCGTATTCAGCCCAGCCCAACTTGCTGCCGCTTTTCGCCCAGGGAGCAGCTCCAGGTTGTGGGATTTGGTGTGTCTCTGTTTATTTACCAGAAGTTGTAGACTTCCTGGGTACTTGATCCTGTCCATGTAAACTCTATTACATGGAGACACCAACAGGGATGATATACTCATCACCGACAAAGGAGCAGAGTTGATTGACTTTGAAGACTCTAGTGTCGGCTCTGCCGAAAACAAACCAGACTGGGACAAAAAAAAAGAAAAAAAAAAAAAAAAAAGAACAGTGAAATGCAGAGTCTAATAGAGAAACTATCGGGCATTACAGTAGAGCATTCACGTGCCTGAGAGAAAACCAGCATTGGTTATGATACTTCTCGTGGAAGAAAGCTGAGAGACCACAGGGATAAAACTAATGCATATACTATTTATGAGATCCATTTTATTGAGAGGTCACAACATAGCTCCATAGCTGCCAGTTCAGTTTGACGGTCGGTGTCAACAGTGAACCTCAGGCATTGCATAGGGCTGACCTAAGGTTCCTTCACTTCCTTGCAACCAGAAGTATCTCCCAACAATCGCCTGTGCAACCTATTTTCATCAACTACATCGTGCCTGCTCTGTGCCGGGTCACAATACTCACATACAAAAAATCATAGTTCTAAGCAATCCTGGGACAGGAGTCGGGGTCAGATATGACGGATCAAGTAACACCGCCACAAAATCCCAAGGACGATGGCGCAACCAGCTTCAAAGACTCTGTGAGCTTGGACAAATCACCACGAACACCCAAGGACAATGGCGCGATAGATTCTGAAGAATCCGCAAGTACCCACGCTTCATCGCAAATACTCGCGAACGATGACAAGGCAGACTTCGGAGACTTTGTAAGCACAGACTATGAAGAATTTGAGCTTGGAGAAGTTGTCGAGCCGTGGGATAAGTATGATCCCAAGTCAACGCCAAACGTTTTCTATCCGATCTGCCTGGGAGAAGTTCTCAATGAAAGATATCTGATTGAACACAAAATCGATGCTGGTGGGTTCTCTACTGTCTGGATGGCCCTTGACCTCCAGAGAAACAAAGAAGTCGCTGTCAAAGTCTTGTCCACTGGCGACTGTGGAGACATCGAACTACGCATACAAGATGAAATCATTCGGAGCGTGCAGGATAGATCTCACCTTGTGACATATTCGGACACTTTTCTGCTAAACGGAAACGATTGTCACCATAGGGTTATGGTGTTTCCTTTGATGGGGCCGTGTCTTGACCATTATACAGTGATGAGATTTGCTATGGATACTCGCATGTCAGCTGCGAAACAATTGCTAGAGGCGTTGGAAACCCTGCACAACGCTGGAATTTTGCACCGCGGTAAGTTATTCTACACATCTCATATCGTCATCATCTGATGAATAGTCGACAAGACTGAATGAGAGAAACTGCATGTGGGGAATGGCGCCTCTCCAGAATCTTAGCAGGAGTGCTAAATATGAGGCACTCACTCGGCCACTAAAGCAAACTATTCCAGCCGTCGAGCTCTGGAAGCCTGGAGAGTTGGTAGGGCCCCTCCAGGTTCCTGAAAACCTGCGCACAGAAGATTTTTATCTCGGTGACTTCGGTCTCGCTATGAAAGTCGGTGACCCTGTGGCTCAACCAGGCTATCCACCTATGCAATTTTGCTCCCCGGAGCGTCTCCATGGGAAAGATCCAAGCTTTGCCTGCGACATGTGGAGTTATATGGTCAACTTTGCTGAGCTTTACCAAGGGCAACCACCGTTCAATCCTTGGTACAGGGGCGGAGTACTGACAACCATCACTGGCTTTCTGGGCCCACTGCCAGAGCAATGGAAAGGTTCTTATGTCTTTGCTGATGGCCTCGATTCCTGGTACGATCATAATCAAACACCTGATACCAAGAGGACCCTCTCATCAGAGCTTGAACGCTATCGACCCGATGCCGATCCAGCTGAACGAGAACTTGTGCTCTCCATTATGCAGAAGGTATTCATCTACTCACCCGAGGAGCGTCTGACTGCGACGCAGCTTCTGGCCGACCCTTCTTTCAAAGCTCTCATGGCTAGATTTGGTTGTTGATACTCTGATTATGAGTTGCGATTGGAGATCATACGGCTTCTCTGAAAAGGTAAACATTGTAAGAAAGATATCGTTTATCATTGACTGACTGGGTAGCGGCCTGGCTTAGTAGAACTCTTGACCGTCTCGCGGGGTGTACCCCCGATATAGACTATGATCATCAAGGATACTACGGACAAATTCATCACGTAAGCGTGGTTGGGTGTTTCTGGGCTTCTTTTTATAGTGGTTTCAAAAGGGCCATGTCTCTGTTGGGAGGAAGAAAGGTGCACCTATAACTACTAAAAAGATAGTATTGGTGTCACTCATAGTCTCATTTAGCTCAGAAACTAGTACATACGACCATAGGGTGTGGAGAACAGGGCTTCCCGTCCGCTCAGCCGTACTTAAGCCACACGCCGGGAGTTAGTAGTTGG